CAGCCTATCCAGTACATAAAAATACTTGTGCTTGTGGGCAGGGTTTGCTAGGGTTCTGAGTTATGGGGGGTCACGAGGGTGTGTGCGAAGGAGGCCAGGCCACAAGGAACTCGGTTGGGCGTTGCCCCCCAGCGGGGACTCACCGAGACAGACGTGCGTATTGCAGGTCTTGCTTTGCGAGGACAGACCCCGGCAATCCGGCTCGCGACAACGTCGGCTGCGCAGCTGCTCTCCCCCTCCGCAAGAGACACTGCAGGGGGACCAGGCGGTCCAGGGGTCCCAGGTTTCCGCCTCTGGAGAGGGCGAGGAAAAAAGGAGGACAGGGTTGGAGGACCACCTGGTAGATAGCAACGGTTGTATTTGAGCACCTTTCCCCAGTCGGTGTTTGGGGTAGGGTCCTGGAGGCCAGCTGCCCCCCCCGGGCTGTGGGTTTTGAAGGGACAAGTCAGCTGACTCCATCTTTGCAAGGCTGGCTGTGTCTGGACACCCTGTGGCCCGCTAGTAGGCAAGGCTGGGAATGTGATAAGCTCCTCCCCCTGAAGACATTTGCATAGCCCTGCCCCTGAAATCAAGGGGAGTACTGTGGGGCAGGGGGGAGTTTTCTCAGACCTAGAAAAAGACACAATGAGTGAACAAAGGTCTGCAACATACTAGCTTTCTCTGTGCAAAAAGCTACTACAGGGTAGGAGCGTTCCTCAATCTCGGCCGTTTTAAGCTGCGTGGAGTTCAACTCCCAGAATTCTGCAGGCCAGGGAATTGAATTCTGGGAGTCGAAGTCCCACCCGTCTTGAAGTCGCCAAGATCGGGAAACGTGTCGATACGGATTTGCCTTCGATTGACGTGACCAGAATTTCCGTTCGCTGAACAAGACACTGGTTCGGTGAACGGCGCCTGATTTTGATGACGTGTTTTTGGTGCCACGGTTGTTAAACGAATCGTTGCAGTTGTTAAGCCACTCAGGGGGATGTTAAGTCACTCTGGCTTCCCCCCCTCCCCGTGGACTTTGCTTGCCAGGAGGTCACACAAAAAAGGGGATCGCGTGACCCCGGGATGCTGCACCTGTCATAATTACATGGCTGAGTTCTGATAATGTGTCCTTGAGGATTCTGTGATAGTCATAAGTGCGAGGACTGGTTCTAAGTCCCTTTTTTGAGTGCCATTGTAACTTCAAACGGTCACTAAATAAACACGAAGGAAGGTGACTATATCTGTCACGGGATAACGTCACCGGGACCAGAGGTATCATCTTCCGAGCTTCCGGACTCGTACTGGAGTTCATCTTCACGGAACGTCCCTCTAGTAGAGTGTGTGTGTTGTTCTTTGTGTGGTATTTATAGTGCCTGTTGTAAGCGGCTTTTACAACGGGGACCCGAACCCATTGGTAAACCTCACACTGCAGTGAACAAGGACATGCGTTCAACTTTGGCAGAAATTAAGATTGTTGGCCGAGACGGTACAAAAACAGCCGGGGAAATGATTGAAACCTGGGAATCAAGGAGTGCTGATTTACCACCAGCCTATCAGATACTTAGAAATACTTCTGCTTGTGGGCAGCACAAGCGACACAATATCCAAGGACTGAAAAGCCAGCCCTCAACACACCCCCAATCAACAACTAAAAAGCCACACACAACAGGCACTGTGGAAATACCACGGACCGAACAGAACACACTCGGCGTGAGTCCGAAAGCTCAGAAGTCCTGGTGACCGACCCAGATTGGATCCTACAAGTAAACAAACCATTGTTAAGTCGAGGACTGTCCGTTTTCACTTCTACGGGATCGGTCCAAACTCACCTGGACACTCTTCCTGATTCAGACAGGGTCTCTGCTGCTCGCCGCCCCCCGCGCACCCTCGGCCTCCGTTCTGTGGGGGCGGGTTGCTGCATTCCCGGAATCGGTACTGGACACCTGTGCCGCAGCTCTGGCTGCAGGGAGACCATCGTCCCCAGCCGGACCAGGCGCCGTCCAGGAGGCACCAGGAATCTGCCCGGCACTGCAGCTGCCCATCTACGCAGGTGCTGAGGAAGGGAAGACGCCGGATCAGCGCTTTTGCTTTCGGAGAAATGGCATCTCCGGCAAATTTCTGTCGTCGTACACTCACCAGTTCTGGCAGGGTGCGTAGATGGTCTCCCCCGGCTGGGCGTATTCCCACTCGGGAAGCCCCAACCAGGAGGAGAGATTCCGGTCTTCGGCGGCGCCTGTGGGCAAGAGGCGTGCGTGTCAGGTCCAAAAACGCCGACAACGGCGTGCAGAGTTGATTTATTGCTGCGTGCCTACAGACTGAATCTTGCCAGATAAAAGCAACGGCCTGTCATAGCTATAGATAAGCGAAGCTTTGTAACTTGGGGATGAAATGAGCGTGGTCGTTTTCTTGCCGATGTTTCGTGACCCAAACCAGGAAACATCCTCAGTGCTGGAAGGGAGGGGGGGTTGGGAGAGAGGAAGAGGAGGACGGTGGGGTCCCGGGTGCTCTCTGAGCTGGGGGGGGGGTTCCTTGCAGATGTTTCAGGACCCAACTAGGGAACGTCATCAGGGCTAGAAGGGAGGAGGAGGAGGAGGAGGAAGG